TGTTGCAAAATGAATTTTCTTCACACTTTTTCCCACAAACAAACAAAGAGCTTTGAGTAAAACATTCAGCTGTGTTGGTAGTAATTCCTATAAAACCTAACATTTTCTATTAAAAGCCTCTAAGCAGGCTTGCACCTTCCCTTGAAAATAGAAATCCTCAACTGCCCAACTGAAATGTGTAATTTGTGCTTCCTCTGGCCTTGAGTGCGTTAGTGGGGTTTCTAATGCTCCTCTTCAAGCAGCAGTATCTCACGCTATTCGTTCCCATTTGGGGCTGAAAACAAGTAGGTGCATATAGCTTTGGTGATCAGGCTTGTTATAAGACTGTGTGGCGATGAAGGGACCAATAAATTGGCTCATTAATGCTGACTTTATCCCATTGAAAACGATAGTCCTTGCCCACATGTGTAGCACAGCAAGACAGGGCTGCCTGATTCTAGGGCACGTATGTAGGGTTTTTCAAATTCATCTTACCTGTTCTTGTTGTGGATGTCTGAACCGCCATGAAGGAATTGCTTACTGTGTACTAACTGTGCTGCAAGCTACCTGGCAGAAGTGAAGGAAATGATCTTCTGTGTTGTAGGAATTAATGTTTCAGGCAGCAGAGTTAGGAGATAAGGATAAATGGAGCTATTTGCACTTGCCTGAGTCTGTTTAAAGATCCACAAAACTTGTATCATCACCTCAGAGCAACGTAAGAGGAGAATGTTTAAAAGTGACTGATAATATATACCCCATCACTAGCAGAGCTGTGTTTCATACCTCAGGTTAACAGGCAGCTCTACTGGTACCCGAGCACCCCAAGGAAAGATTACTCATGTGTCTGGGGGTAATGGGTACCAGGGGCAGCAGTAGCTGGATTGGTGGCCTCAACATTGATTACCCCCATCAGAAAATCATTGCAAAGCTTATGCCCTTTAATACCGTTGTTGGTGAGCAGTTGTGATTAGGAGAGAAGTAAATCAAATAACTTTGCTGCTCTGTGTGATGTTATTTTAGGTATTACCTAAATAGTGGGAGGAGATTACATATGAGTCCAACCTGTGTGTTTTTAATGATTCAAATTATCAACCGCAAAAGTGTTACGGTTTAAACCATGACAAGAAAAGAGTAGATTTAGGCTGTGATAATTTTAATTTCTTTCATTATATGAATAATCTTCTTCCATTGCCCATGCTGCTTTAATGCAGTTTAGTTAATACACTGTAACTTTATTTTATGGATGAAAAGGACGTGGTTTCAAGACAGTGCTTATTGCATTGCATCTTCCACAAGGAGAGTAAAATGTCACGAGTGGGCAGGAATATCAAGCAAAGAGCCATGGTCTGAGTATTCTGGACAGCAACAGTTCAGTTGCAAAGTTTCTCAGGTTCAAGGCAGGGCAAGGCAGGTTCAAGGCAAAAGGAAAAAGCCACTCTTGGTGTTCTTGGTGACCTAAATTTGCTTTGGGAGAGGACCATTAGGAGTGGATAAAATTTTGCTAGTTAAATGTTACAATTTTAGCCAAAGAAAACAGTTTGTAGATGTGATGGTTCAACTTGATTTATTTGTGCCATATGCACCTTTTTGATCCTTTGAACACTGTAAAACTCAAGACTAATCAGGGTTGTAGTACGTGAGATCTTAATTTAGCCAATATTTTAAATAATAATAATAATTAGCCAATATTTTTAATAAGTTCAGTTACCTGTATCAATTACTTTACAAATACACTACACTAAATTGTAACAGTTTGAGTGAAATGTAGTTTAAATATAAACAAGTATTAGATATTCTTATTTTTTTAAGAGATTGTCTTTATCTTGTATTAGTAACTTATTACAGCTTATGAAGCAGTTGCAAAACTCCTTCTACTAATACAAAGCTGAGATCACACTATCAAAAACCTATTTAAAGTCTCCAAAGCAGGGGAAAGGAGCTTTAAATGAGTATTATTTTTTGTAGTAATCAGTAAAAGTACGTACGTAGGCAAAGTTACAGCACACAGATGTGTCAGCCGTAAATGGTAAAATACCAGTAAGATGACATCAATCTGTTCTGTGTTTTTTTCTTGGAGAATCAGCATTGTATAGTTCTGTGTGTGTAAAATATGCATGATCTTTTGTGAAAACTGCTAGACAAATACATGATAATATTGGCATAGAGCAAGTGCTTAGGAACCATGCTGACAGATGCCTCAGAAATATCTATACAGAAAAATGTGCATAGAGCATACTGTTGCCAACCATGACATCTAAAAATCATTGTTCAGTTTACAGTATCACAAAATCGGCTAAAAATTATGAAACTTTGAATAATAGTTTTGAGGGGCTTTGTTTTGTTTTAGGAACTCAAGAATTTCTTAGGGTGCAATATAGCTATTTTTCTCTCTATAGCTTTTCACTGAAACTGGAATGTACAGGAATGAAAGCTGAGATTTTCATGTATTTATTTAAATCCCAGGATTTAAAGTTTGAGAAAAAAGTAAATATAACGAGGCTTGCTGTAAAACTGACAAGGCCAACAAAGATGGCACAAAGAGCTGCACTAGATCTAGTCTATGGTGAAATTTTGGAGAAAATTTTTTTGTTTTCTGGGATATGGGTTCAGGAGCCAGCAGTCTGCAAAGCAAAGACAGTATATTTAGGTTTGTATTTACTTGATGTGCATGACCTTGACAAGATTTCTGCATAGTAAAGGTTTAGTGTAGGGTCATGCTGGGAGCACTCTACAGAGTTTGAGCTGCGTAAGAAGAGAGAGGAACTGTGGTGAATTTGCAAAGGCTGTGAGTACTTGCTGAGAAGACCAGATCTCTAATGGTGTGGAAATGTACCGTAATGCAGAATAACATCCGTAAAAGAAGTTTTATGTGTGGTGAGATCGTCCTCCAGCTGCTTCTTTGTTAATATGAGTGCATGAATTTCTAACATCGGGACCTCACATATGGGACAATTTAGGTGAACAACCTTCTTACTGCACCAAAAGTGACAGCAAACAGTTTCCCAAAACAGTGAACTGGGACTGCATCAACATCTGCCCTTTTCAGTGCTGATATGTAAAATAGGGCACAGGAGAGAAAATACAGCAGGAGAAGAGAATCGGGAAGTGTTGGCTTCTGATACAGCAGCTGTCAGGGCTGGCCAGAACAGCTACCACCTATCTTCTTCCACCATTGCTACTATTAATCCCATTAGAGGAGAAAATGTAGATTAATTGAATGAAACTCTTACATTGGCTGTAATACTTAGGCTGAATTTTCTAGTTTGTGTCTAATACTGAAATGGAGGGTTAGACTTTCTTTCTAAAACACATTTCTCTCCTTTGTTGGCTTATCAGAGCTTTGTGTATAGAATGTGTGAAGGTTCCCAAAGGGAAAGTTTAAAAACTATAAAGTCAAACTCCCAGAAAATCCATACCTGAGTATTGCTTGTTAGCTTAATCTGGCCTTTCCACACTTGACAGAGTACAATCAGTCACCATTCTCTCATCACAGGGCTTTCATGCCACTGAGCTTACAAAGTACGTAATATTCTTCAAATAAGTGAAGATATTTATTTAGGATATCTTCATCTTCCATCAGTGGGCCCCATTTTTGTAGGTTTTTTTTTTTTTCCGACATAATTGAGACTTTGAGTAGAATATAGAGCTGTTAACAGCCCCACGTTGTGCTGCTCTTACTTTATTAATTCTTCACAAATATTGATGTCTTTTCACACATTTCTGAGGAAATGTGGTCCAGATAACACAGTTTTTAGTGCCAGTTTTGAAAAGCCTAAGACTTTATATAACCCTGTCTTTACCAGCATTACCTACATATTAAGAACAGAGATTTCAGCCCTCTTGGTTGGGATTATTCGGCGAGAATTTCCATCAGTTTGCACTATGCCTGTTTCAGTTTGTTAAGGATCGTGTTCATACTCACATGACCATACACATTTTTGTTTTACCTTTAGTTTACTCATTACCTTGTAGGCATGAAATCCATGGAAACTGTAGTATTCAGCTGCTCTGCATGAGAAACCATAATCTTCCTTCCTGTACTTCTTTGCCTGCTTTACTGTGTGTCTTCCGCTCTTACCGGTAAGATTTCTCCAGCAAAAATATTCTTACAGGCAACAGCCTTCACTAGTGTTTCATCTTCCAACTCTATTGTGCAGTGTCCTGCAAAAGAATTTTTTTATCCACATGTGTTAGCTCAGTCTCCTGGGCATGAGTCTTCTCTAAGTCTTACACTAGCTTGAGTATTTCTGAGCTTTTATGTTAGCAGTGTCTCAAATTTATTTTTTATTTATAAAGCTGAGACAAAATATGTACATAAATATAGAAGGAAAATTATTTTCTTTCAAAAGTAGATACGTGTTTCAGTAGGAAGGTCTCTAAAGAAAGGCAAATCCTGCTTAATCCAGTGCAGTTGTTGAGATGAAACAGTTGCAATGTTTGCTTAAGGTCTTTTCTTTTAACTAATTGTTAAATGAAGGCTGTGTTTCAGATTCACAGAATCACGGACTGGTTGAGGTTTGAAGGGACCTCTGACGGTCATCTGGTCCAACTTCCCTGCTCAGCCAGGGCCACTTAGAGCTGGTTGCCTAGGACCACGTCTAGACATTTTTTTAATATCTCTAAGGAGGGAGACTCCACAACTTCCCTGGGCAACCTGTGCCAGTGCTTGGTCACCCTCACAGTAGAAAAGTGTCTCCTGATGTTCACAGGAAACCTCCCGTGTTTCCGTTTGTGCCCATTGCCTCTGGCCTGTCACTGGGCACCACTGAAAAGAGCCTGGCTCCGTCCTCTTTGCACCCTCCCTTCAGGTATTTATATACATTAGTAAGATCCATGAGGAACCCCCGGGTCCTTTTCTGCCAAGCTGTTTTCCAGCTGGGTGGCCCTGAGAATATGTTGGTGTATGGGGCTGTTCTTCCTCAGGTACAGGACTTCACACTTCTCCTTGCTGAACTTCATGAGGTTCCTATCGGCCCATTTTGCCAGCTTATCAAGGTCCCTCTGCATGGCAGAATGACCCTATGGCATATCAGCCACTCCTCCAGTTTTGTGTGATCAGCGAATTTGCTGAGGGCACGCTCTGCCCCATCACCAAGATCATTAATGAAGATGTGAAACAGGACTGGACCCAGTACCCTAGGGGTACACTGCTAGCTACTGGCCTCCAACTAGACTTTGCACCACTGATCACAACCCTCCGGCCCCAGCCATTCAACCGGTTTTCAATCCACATCACTGTCTGCTCATCCAGCCCGTACATCAACAGCTTGTCTATGAGGACCTTAGGGGAGACAGCATCAAAGACCTTACTGAAGTCCAGGTAGACAATATCCACTACTCTCCCCTCATCTACCAGGCCAGTGATTTCATCACAGAAGTTCATCAAGTTGGTCAATCATGACTTCCTCTTCGTGAAGCCATGCTGACTGCTCCTGATGATTTTCCCATCCATAAGTGCCCAGGAAATGGTTTCCAGGATTAGCTGCTCCATCACCTTCCCAGGGATCGAGGTGAGGCTGACCGGCCTGTAGTAGTACCCTGGGTCTTCCTTCTTGCCCTTCTTGAAGACAGGAGTGACATCCGCCTTCCTCCAATGGGCACTTCTCCCAGTCACGATGATCAATCACAGATTATCGAGAGTGGCCTCGCAATGACATCTGCCAGCTCCCTCAGCACTCATCAGGGCACATGGACTTGCCCAGGTAGCAGGTACAGAGTCAACTTAATTAACAAATAACCTCATCTCCATCAGTGATATGGAATTTTTGTTTTAAGTTACTACAAATAATTAAGGCAGCTAATTGTATCAATACCTTAGGTCACATTCTCTGCCAAATGACTGTCTCTGCCTCCTCTCAAAAAATCAATAATCTGGCATTTCCTGTTTAAATTTTACATCTCCTTAATCTGAAATTACTTCTCTAAATAATTTTTTAGTTCCTTAAATGTCATAGTTACGAATAAATATTTCCATTTCTATGACAAAATAATTAATTCCACTTCCCACTCCATACCCCTGTTCTTCCATCTTCCCTAAGAGCTAACTTTTGTGAATGGTTAGAAGGGAACAGTTTTACCCTGCCTTGGAGGTTAGTTGCTAATGTAGCAGCTTGATAGGAGATGTGGTGATACAGAATTTGGGCAGGGTGCAGGCAGCTCCGTTCAGGCTTACGATGTTACGGACACCCAAACGGTGTCTCCCCTTGGCGGTGGCAGATGTGGACACTTAGTGGATGAGGTGGGGTTGTTCTGTCCTTTGAGCTACAGGTGGGTTGGATTACTCTACTAAAAGCTGAGGCGGTGGCCAGTGACAGGGCGCTTAAGAGGCAGTAGAAGTTGTAAGTAGAGTAGTCCTGTTAGAGAAGAAGGCTTGTCCTGGGGGAGCATGTTCCTCCTCCCTGAGAAGCTAACTTTGGACAAAGTGGAAGTGGAAGTAATACTCAGCTATAAGCAGTTTTAAGTGGAGAGAGTTTTCAGTATGTATGGCACAGGGAAACGTAAATCTGTAGACTGTTGTGCGCAAAAATAGGAAATGTGTAGACTGGCTGATATGAAATGGGGTATTACTACACCATTTAAATTTTATTTCAGGAAACAATATGTAAGCTTCCTTTAAAAACGGTTCAGGTGAAGGCAAGAAAAGCCATTGTTACCCACATACAGATGTTTTCTATTTTTTAATGTAAATAAGGAGCTTGAAATGATGGGGTTTATTTTTAGAAGTTACATGAATCCGGACAACCATGAAATATTACAGAAACAGCTGTATTATATCCTGTATCATAAACAGGTGAGTTTGCCTGAAAATTGTTTGCAGCTCAAGAGTAAGTTGTACTACTTGTGAAAACAGACAAGAGTTTGGAAATGGCAGAAGCCAAGTGATTTAGAGCTGGTGAAAAAGGTACCTTTTCAGGGAAAACTTGAACCAAAGAAAAGTCCCTTTTCTTGCCGAACAGTTTCAAAGGCCCTCAGCCAGGCCTAATAAAGAAGCCAGTGTCTCCTGTGCATCGGTGTGAGAGCACTAAAACGAAATAGACTGTCTAAGAATGCAATAAATCGTATCGGGTCATTGCACTAATGAACAGTTTGGGCCCAAGCTCTCATTAGCTTGTCTGCAGGAAGAGAAAACTAGTAAAACAGGAAAAGGACATACGAGAGGAGTTCTTTGCTGGTACTGTCTTAAGCTTTTATTGTTGAAGAACACCCTTTAGCTAATTTCAGACCCATTAAAAAAAAAAAATCTGTTTGGTGATTAGTTACCAGCAGATAAGAGCAGAAAGCCCAAGCAAATAAAGCCATAAATACCTAAGTCCTTGGGATAGCAGCCTGTAAAACTGTCAAAAAGCATTGCTTAGATGACAAAAGATAGCCTCTGGTAACTAGAGGTAACTAGCCTCTGGTAACATCAGCGCTGTCCGCACTAATCCATAGTCGTTTATGGAAGGCATATTTTTAGTTCCTTCTAAAAAGGCAACTCTTTTCTGTTAAAGCGTTCATTCTTATGTTAAAAGCAGCTGTTTCCTCTGGGTGCGCTCTCACCCCAGATTTCTCAAAGTCAAAACAGCTAGGTTTAATTCCGATACTTAACAATTTTAACACTTATGCTAATCTGTATTTCTTGGAATAAATTTTCAGACAGGGCCATTTGAGGAAATAATGTAAATTGTTTCAAGAGGCATTAAGAACCCTTTTTAGATGAGTATGGATGATCATTTATGTTTCACTGGGACTTTCTGTGGTTTGGCTCCTCAAAGTGATCTTGCTAAAGCAGAACAAAATTTTTACCAGGAAGGTATTATAACAACTTTATATGTATTCATATCCATTCCTTCTTATGATCCTGTCTTGATTAGTGAATGCTGGGAGAAAATTTTGACACGGAGGAACTTCGCTGGTGTTTGCATGCCTTATAATGTGAACGAGACCAGGCCTTTTCCCTTTTTTCTTTTCCAATAAACTGGTTTGAAAAGAAAGTAGTGAAGTTTTAATAGTGACAAATATCTCCGCACCTGCGTGATTTTTTTTTCCTACAGTTTTAGCACTTCTTCAAGTATTTTAAACTGAATATGATAGTCTTTAGTGTTTGTTACTTTTTTAAAGGAATGGATTTTACATAAGTTAAAGTTCATGTTGAAATTAATAAAGGAAAAATACAGTTAATGGAAATCTGCAGGAAACCTGTTGTCAGCTAGTAATTTTGCTGCAAAGAGTAGAAAGTGAAAGATAAACCAGATGTTTAAGAGTAACCTGAAGCTGGAGGACTGAAATTAGCTTCCAGAATGGTGATGTCTTTAAAGTTTGCATTGACTCTTGTTCTTCATCAGTGCATAACAGGTTTATGTTATCATAACTATTTTACCGCTAAAAATCTTTCATGGTTTTGCAGAAGTTCAGGCGGTGGGGGGAAAAAAAAAAATGTTTTTTCAGAATAACTTGATTTTTGGAGCAGTGTCAAGTGATGCTGCAGTGTCTTTCAAAAAGATCTGATGCTGTGGACCATGTAAGAATCTCTCTTCGTACTCAGAAATGGGTTGCGTTGTTGGTTGGGTTGGGTTTTCTTGCACAGGGTTGATTCACCTGTATACAGGCTGTATATACCCATGCAGTCAGGTCCAGAGTTTCTATTTTGACTTGTGTGTGTCTGTGGGAACTGGAGCTGGTGTTGATTTGAGGAGAGCAGATGTTAATGGTGTTTTTCTCAAGCATTCTTTTGCCCAAATAGGCATCTCTCATTGTGAGAAAAGGCGGTAAAAGGCTGTAAATCTGCCTGCTCATTATGAAAGGCAACAATAGATTGATTTATGGAGAAAAAGCAACTGTTAGGCTTAGGTAGCCTGCGTGCGTGAAAACTGAGTTTTGCAGTCACTGGATATTACTGCTGTTATTTTTGAGAACACTTTAGTTCTAACTTAATCACGAGGGATATTATACAGGGAGGGAGAGTCAGAAAACTTGTTAGCTTGGATAACAGGTCACAATAACACAGTTGTATAAAATCTAAAGTGTAAGCAGGTTTTCTTTTCAGTAGTAGATTTTTAGATCGTTACTTCCTAACCTGATTTGCACCATTCCTTCTGTATGGACAGTTCTTTCTTGTTTTATGTTTATGTTAGCATCCCCTGTGCCCACATACCAAATTCGTTCTTTGTCTCATGTACACAGATGTGTGTGCAAGTACGCACCGATACCCACACGCTTTAAGCCACTGATCCTAAGAAATGGCAAAAAAGTATATGGAGACATGCAACATGGCAGCAGGAAGCAAGACTTCTCAGTACAACCCTCATAAGCCACAACCACTGTGAGAAAAATTATACAGAATTTTTGGATGAAGTAATAGGCCTTTCTCAGTAATTTTACAGAATTTTAGAGAGAAATTTATACATTTTAAACAATAATGGAAAAACGATGTATAGAACTGTTTGTTAAATAATATAAACTGATTTTAACAACTCTGTTTTAAAAATCTAGTTCTCTTTTGTACTCTCTGGGTTCCAGATAATTTCCCTGTGTAACAAAGCAGTCTTACTGGTTCAATCACTATTACAATCTGTAGGTTCCATACATGTGGAAAGTGTTGGGATGAGGAGAAATCCAATAACAGCAGAAAAGTTTATTTTGAATCCTCATCTTAAGACTTATTTTCTAAGGAAGAAGAAAGAAAACTGTCTGAGGCTTTCGGGCATTTAGTGTGGTCTGCTCAGGTCTTCTTCTGTTTTTCGATTCTACTACATCATTACTAATTTGGAAGATGTTGCAACAACAGTATGACATGGACAAGATCTATTATAAACTCATTTAGGCTCTCATGTTTTATAGCCTTCCTTACAAGGCATTAGGAACTTCTTATTAGGGTATTGGCTTTAGTAAAGAACTAGACTTGATATAGTAGTATGTACGTATGTTGACTGCATAGCAGCTTCCACAATGTTTGCCTCACTGACACCTGAAATAAAGATCTTTGAGTATTATTCTGTTCTGTAGTTCTTTTTTCTTGACAGCATGCCTTAGGCAGTAACTAACAGTAAGAGTTTTAGGCAAAAATGTTTCTTACAATGTTATTTATTTTCTTTTTTTTTCCTTTTAAGTCTGAACAGCCCAGTCCTGCCAGTTCCAGCTCCAGTTCCAGTTCCAGTTTTACACCATCTCAAAACAGCAGACAACAAGGTACCAACAAAGGAAGAGAAATTGAAAGGAATGTGTGAAATGAAGGGGCCAGTAAAAACAGAACTGGTGGCATCTCATTACCACTTTTCAGCTGCCTTTCACAGCCTGAACTGGCCACAGTTTTGCTTTAAAGACTTTTCCTCAGGTTGTTTTCAGTTGTGGCTGTAAGGGCAAACTAAAAGGGGAGAAAATGTGTATCTGAGAAAAGGGTGTGAAGGGTATTTGTTTTGAAGCACTAAATACATGCCAGTCACTTAACAGATGCTAAACTCGAAAGAGCCTCTCTTTCTGAGGTTTGCAGGGTTAGGTAGCATGGCACCTGGCTGCATCTGAAGCCCTGCTCAGGAAGGTGTGGCTTCCCATGGGAAGCCCATGGATCTGTGTATGTGGACCCTTTCAAAGGGCCGTGATCTTCCCATAATATTGGGAATTTTTAAGAGCGTACAGTATTCAGATACATGTCAGGGGAAGATGATGGTTAGACTTTAAGTTGACTTTGGTTTTCTGGGTAATAATTGCAGTTTACTTGGAACTCGGTAAAGAAATACATTTTTCTTCCCAGAGAACTTGCCAAGGCGAGTTTTCTGTAAATAAGTTGAGGTTCATTCTACATGATCTATTAAACTATTTAGTTCCTGCTTGGCCTTTTTCCCTGGGTTTATAAGATTGTACAACTGATACATTCTTAATAAGCTTTTGTTTTGTTCTTTGGATCCGGAGCATTAAAAAAGCAGCTTTTGACTAATTGAAATTGCATTTGTTTTATCCATTTATATTCCTCAATGGTAGACTTGATTTAAGGTTATGAAAATACATTAGTGCCTCAGGCAGACAGGTTTTTTTTAAATAGATCTACACATGATGCATATCTGTCCTACTGCCTTTCTGTGACTGGTGCTGATTTTCTAATGTGTTTTGACAGCGTTACTCCAGGTGAAAGAAAGAAAGAGCTGAAGTGAACTGTGGTTGATGGCTGGCTTCAGGCATTTAATTTTTACCTGAGGCTAAATAGAACCCCTTCTTGCTGAAACCCCATTTTTGCTGTCATGAAAACCTCATCAGTGGTGTGAACTGTCCATGACAAGCCAAAAGATACAACAGATACAAAGCCTGTATCTGTTATCTTATGTTGGGCAAAACCCCATTGACTTAAAATACTCTTTTGAGCAGACTGGATCCATCTATCTCTTCTGGGTCATATATAAGACATATCACAGGCTGTCTTTCAGTTTTTTGTACCTTCTCAAAAATAGATGGGAGATTCTTCCTCTGATGAGAACAGCTCTGAAGCGCAAGTGGTATATACATCTCCTCTTTCTTGCCACAGTAAATAGTGACTACTGCTTCTTTCTGGGAGTTCCAGTTAACTACATGCATTCATTGCCCAGGCCATGCATTTGTGTAGCAAAGGGATGAAGCACCAGGCATACTGTGGCATGTTCACTCTGTATGTTGTGCTCTGGCCAGAACCCATGCTTTTTTCCCTAACTAGAAGTTACTTGCCAGGGCCATTGCTCTTGTTCCGTTGTGTTCAAACTCCAGTGCTCACTCAAGTGTCAGAAAACTGCAGCATGAACTTTTTTCACCTCTTTTTGTATAAGCACTGGGCTAACCAAAGGTTCTTCAAGTTCTTCTGCCCCTTCTGCCCTTACTCTGATATTTCTCTGTTTCCTTACGAAGAATACTTGCTCTTGGGCAGCTCCTAGTTTTCAGTTTCTCCTTAACTATTCTGACCCTTTAGGAGATAACAACTCCTCAAACCCTTAAAAAGGTTGTCACAGAATTTTAAATTAAGTGTTAGCAAGGAGCAGAAGATTAACAGTGACATCGTTATCAGTGCTAGAAACAAAAGACCTAAAGATTAATACGTTGCTGATTGTTAGGAAAGTCTATGGAAAAAGTTAGCTAGCGGGTACAAAATGCCTATTCAGAGTCCCAGACATGGTCCTACATTAAGTGAAAACTTGTCTGAATGTCAGGTCGTTCAATGCCTATGGGGCTGTCAGTGATGGATGTGTCTCAGGACTCCCAAGTTCCTTTTTCTCCAAGAAAGAGGAATAAGCCTGTAGGCAACTTGAGACAGGACTGTCTGTCCCAGAACACAGCAAAGGAGTATCAGGGGATAAAATGGCCCTCTGCTGTACTTGGAAAAAGGACGTAGGCAAGAATAATGAGTTAGCTTAAGCTTGGGAGAGCAGGCTGTGTAGGGATCATGAGGAACGTGTACTGGTTTTCTTTCTGCTTCCATTTAAAAATAAAATCAAGGACTGATGTTTTGGGTGACTTGCAAGCATAGCTACCAGTTTCCATGTTGTGGAGTTATGTGGTGGTGTTTTATGTAAGATCAGCTATTCATATGTCATACTAAATTTCACTATAAAATTAGGTTTTGGTTATTATTTTACCTTTTCTCCCCCTGACCTTTTCCTCTGCTCTTTCATCAAGAATGTGATGATGCTTTACTTTCATCTGTCCTTTACCAAGTCTTCTCTATAATTTTCTTCCTCCTGTATGTTGTGGAGAGGAGACGAATGCCTTCTCAGAAGCTGACTTTGGCCTATGGAGCGGAGTGAGACTTGTCTGCAAAGACAACCGTGTTCAGTAGGACTTTGATGGTGGTTGTTAGTGGTTTTGCCCAGTAAGGTGTAAGGAAACTAGCCTTCCTAGGCTAAGCCTAGCCTGTGGGAACACCCTTGTGTTCTACCCTTTTATCTCTCTTGAAACATGGAATCCTTCTTTGTATATTTATAATTTAATTCTCTTTCTAACCCTTTACCTCTATTCATTTAGCTCCCTATGCTGTGTCTCTCATTCGCCCACCTCAACAGTCAAGGGCCACTAAGAACATTTTCCAAAAGATGAAAATGGGCAAATTCTTCCTTCATCCCATGTGCTATGCTGCTGAGAGTGCCCTCTCTCCTCCCTGTTTATTACTGCCTCTATTAAAAGCCAAGGAAGGAGTCAGCTCCCTCCTTTAAGGGTCAGATGATTAGATAGTCAGTTGGAGTACAAGCTACCATTTGCAAATAGCTGAGCGTTGTCTGCCTGAGACGTAAACAGGAACAGAAAATGGAGCACTGATCAGCTGCTTCTGCAGATCAGCAGTGGTTGTGTGGACAAGAAGCACTTCAGTATAGCTCCCCTTTCCTTGTTGCCTGTACAAGTGTCTGCTCCACCAGGAATTTGCCCATCAGCACCATTTGGGCTTCTTAGCAGCCAACCTTAAGGTGTAAAAACAGAGAAAGAAACCATTGATCTGCACCATTGGCCCAAACTGCGCCAATTTATTAAAGTTCTAGTGCAACCTTAGTGGTAAATCATTCTCAACATCAGCTTTGAAGTCACTCACACAAGACTAGTCAAAATGCCTGTGACCTGAGCCTTGCTAGGTCTAGAATAATCCATAAAGCCGTTCCTCCCATGAAGGAAACGCTGTCCCTGTTAGGAGTATGACCCTGACAGACAGAGGTCTATCTTCTCTTCTGGCAGTGACCAAGGGTGACACTCCTTGACTGTCTCCCCATTAGCAAATAGAGAGTTGCAACCTTCATCTCCCTTTGAAGAACACTCTGAAGCTCACTTTGTTCATGTTAGTACTTTGTGTTTCCTGGGCTGAAGGAATTAGAGATCCCTAATAGTAATTGCTGTTCCTGCAGCCATCACCGTTGCTTTTACTTGCTGCTTTGTGTCTCAGATGGACTGTACTTCAGAGTTAAATGCACTGTGGCATCAGTCTTGCTTCTTTCCCTCTTCTAAGCTGCTTTTGCCCATTCTTATTTCAAGCAGCTGTAGTTTTACATTTCCCAGATATGTTAAATATATTCCTCTCTCTGTAACTGTCTTTTACAGCAAAATAAATTGAGTAAAATCAAACCAAAATCCCAAACTGAATTTAATACAGTTTATGAGCAAGTCAAGCTTTGTACCTTCTGTTAATTCAGGAAAAGAGACAGCATGCCGTTGCATGGGATTGATGCACTTTTTACGAATGAACATTGGCAAAGTGCTTACTTGACCTGAAATTGACCCTGAAGTAAAGAGAACAGCTAAAGCTAAATATATAAAAAACAGGAAGACAAAGACTGCGTTGGCCAGTACGAGTTTGTCAGAATGATTTGTTAGATTCTGCTTCTCAATACATGGATTAACCTAACAAAGGTAGTGTTACTGATCAGTATGTCCCTGCAGATCTTTACTTGCATAATAATACCCTTTAAGAAAACAAAAAATACTAAAACCCAGCAATGCAAAAGAGTCTTGCTTCTAATAATAGTTGAAGTAATAGTCAGTAATAGTCAATTTCTCATGGCATAACAGTATTTTACTTACTTCAGCTATGGTCCAAGGGGCCAATCGTGAAAACACTTGAACATATGAGTCACTTCACTGCCATGAGTAAGTCTGTTGAAGCTAACTGAGTTGCTCGTGTGAGTAAATGATTCATGGATAAGTCCCTGCAGCATAAGCTATAAGAATAAGTGCATTGCTTCGTTTGTTTAATGTTTAAGACTCTCCCCTCCCAACACTGTGAGGGGAGGGTAGTTTTCTATCATCTACAAAGCTGGGTGCATTGCCTGGAACACTGCAAAGTGAACTTCATTTCTGTACTTTATTGTCTCTGTTGTTCAGGTCCATTGAGGTCTATAATGAAAGATCTGCATTCAGATGATAATGAAGATGAATCAGATGAAGCAGATGAGAATGACAATGATTCTGATTTGGAACGACCTGTAAATACACGAGGGGGAAGCAGGAGTCGCAGGTGAGTGTCTTGTGATTGCAAATAGCCTGGTCTCCAAGACTTGGGTTAGTAATGGGGTGAGGTCTAATGTTCTCAAAGAGCGCTGACTAGCAAATGGGCAGAGAATTCAGACTCTCTTTTTAAAGCATATGCATGTAAAAGTGCCTCTATTAAAAACTATCAGAATTAGCCATTCCCAATACAAACTATTTCTGTACTAATCCATATGGTTATGATGCTCCTCATTCATTTGACTTTGCTTGATTTCATGCCATTGTGACTTCAGGGGAGTAGTCATAGTTACTCTCTGTCATAAATGAGATAAAATTAAGTCCTTCAATTGCCGGATGAGCTATTCTGTACATAGTGTCTCATTTTCAAGACCTCTCTGCTTACCAGTTTTAGATTAGGTTGTTAAATTGGGTCAGAATTAATGAAAGTTGAATTCCAAGTAATTTCTGCGCTGCATGCAGTAGGTAATGTGTAGAAGTGCAGACAGAAGGTAAAGCAAGCATCTGTCACAGAAATTACTTTTTTAAAAACACTTCTGCATCCTAGCTGCAACCTTAAGAGGACATTCCAAAAGTCATCTATTCTTTGGGCAGCTTGAAGCTCCATCTGAATGTTGTTGAAGGTTATGGAAAACTTGAAACAGTCTCTCTCAAACCTTTTCATAGTGGGTTCTTTACCTGATCCACAGGGTTTTGCTGAGACTGCACAGCACCTGAGTGCTAGTGTCAGCTACTGCTTAAATGGGAAGGTAATAGGAAAACATTAATGAATGTCAGCTGCTTCCCTGGTGCACTTTAGCAGCTGGAATCAAGGAGAAGACCACCAAGATGACTAGCAGTTTGAGAATTTGTTCGTGTCAGTGATTGTATAAAGGATTGTCTCAAGCTCAGCTTGTCTGTAAGTGTGGAGATTTTGGATTTGTTTTTTAACAAAACCGTAAGGCTAATGTTTCTCTATCTTCTTCTTATCCCAAATAACTATTTTTTTTTCTTCCAACAAGTAAACATTCCCTGTTGTTCCTAAGTAAATGAAGGGTGAGACTGACTAGGAGCTGAGAGTTTTCATGTGGCCTCTCCTGAGATACTAAGTTTTTAAATTTTAGCCAGGAAAAAGAGTGTTATTTATGACGAGAGACAAGGAACTTTTCAGTGAAGCACCTGTCTGAGTGGGAAGTACAGTTGTTTAGAAAGCTTTTAAAAGAGCAGAAAAGTATCTCTACAAAAGATTTTCCTCCTTCCCTGTGGTTATGAACCAAGATACAGACTCGCTCCAGGAACGTTGGGAACAGCAGTTTAATGTTCTAAATATTTAACCGTTACTGTAATGTTAGCTGCTGTTAACCGGACATGTCATCTCAGCCAAGTGCAGGCAGACAGCTTCATTCTGCATGCTACACAGAGCTTTTTCCAGAGTGCGGCTCTGCTCAGATGCCTCTCTTCCACGTGACCTTGATTAATGATGGCTTGCTTAGCTAGGGGTCATTCTGCGTGTCCTACCTCAACGTGCAAGCTCGGTTCACCTCTGGTAACAGCCCTTTGTCTGTAGGTGTCATCTCTTGGCTCTGTTTTTCCATAGGGTTAGTCTGAGTGATGGCAGTGACGGTGACAGCAGTTCAGCTTCCTCACCACTACATCATGAACCAGCACCACCATTACTGAAAACCAACAACAACCAGGTAAATCAGGATTCGTTAATGCGGTGCTGGGGAGCTGATAGGACATTCTCATTACTTTGGTGCAGTTAGTTAGTCTGTAAAATGACATAAGAGCTTTTTTTTCAGGAGAAGGAGAAGTATTTGGTTTAGCAAATACTATAGACCAAAGTAATGTTTTCATGAGTATTTTAAGAAATATGTCCTTTCTGTATGAATTGGCTTTGTAAGGTAAACAGTGCAAACTGGCTTTACAGCATCAATCGTACAATTGATACAGGTTTGGGTTTATATTAGCAGTAGACACAGTTTGCATCAAGAGGCTCATTCTCAGGAGTCTTTCCCTCTCCCCCACCAGTGTTTATCTGGAAGATACAATATTTTTCACTTCACTAGAAGACATGGTAGTTTTTACTTCACTATCAGAGTACTTGTTCCATATCCGTAAGAGCTAACATTGTTATTATTTTTGAGGTAGGAAAGCAGGGTAGTTCTGTTTTTCAGAGAAAAGAAATTAGATAACCTAGAGCTACAGAAGAATACATCAGGGACAAATGAGAATTAGAGTTTGGGAGTTACCTCACCCCCAGTCACCAATAAAGTAAGACTTTCTAAATATAAAAATTAAACATAAAAGCTGATACTCTTTAAAAAAACCCTATAAAATACATCATTTGTCACTTATTTTAAGGAGCCATAATTCATTCCCAGTGTCAGCTGGATCATACACAAAGCAGTCATGAAATTTACTGACTGGCAATAAATGGCTGCTTACGGTATTGATATAGTTAGAATAGTGTCTACATGTATTAACAAAAGTTTGTGGTTTAGATGGTGAGTTTTATGGATGAGCCTTTCCTATATCTCTTAGGTTAAGTGCTTCAACTATCTGGTAGAAATTACTTACTTGTAATTGTTTTTCTAATAAGGTTTCCAATACAAGCTTACTGATAGTGCAAAACCGAAACATTATTATTCATGTCAGTTAAGTTCAAATACACTGTGGGGAAAAAAACCTAGGGAGTAGTTTGTGCACAGAGAGAGGAAGGAGATTCCATGTCCAGAAGCCATTCTTATTACCCACCAGAAATTCTGTAGGCTTTTCTAAGTTGATCCGTACAAAAGTTAGAAGTTTTTAAGAGTCTTTTGAGGAAAAAGCAAACTGTAAAGATGAAGAATATAGCATTCACTGGAGATCTAAGCACAAGAAAAATAAAACACCTACCTATGGCTTGTTTAATGAAGGCTAACTTCTACAAAGGCAATGTAATTGTTAAGTAATTGTAGGTCTCAATATCAGCAGCCCGCTCAAGTCACATCTTTCATGTTCGTTTCCCCTTGAGTGATCTAACAGAAGGTCTATCTATGCATTTAGACACTCCAAACAATAGCAGTGTGCCAGCTAAAATTAAATGTCACATACCTTCTTCCATTTTTATAATTGAGCTGAATTTTATAGTTGAGCTGAAAATCAGAAATTTAGGGAAGCATTATGAGAATTCAAATTGTATAGACCGTAGCCACATTTGAAATCTCTGCTTGGTAACATCGTCCTGCTTGCCAGAATGATGCTTTTGACTGATGAAATCAGGCTTGTGTTGACTAAGTCCATTCATAGAACTAAAGTGCTAAGACAAAGTTAATATTTCTATAAGCTTCCTCAGGTGTGATTAGTGCTGTGTCTCATCTAAAGAAGAGTGCTTAAGGTGTCAGATCTCAACAACACATCAAAGAGCACTGTAAAGAAGCCACTTTTTCAAATATACTGTGTCCTTGCTAAGGTTCTATTTGAAACCAAGAATTTTCTTCCTTTAAAAACAAGAAAAGCATCTAAAAGGTACTGGATCCGTGCTTAGAGTCTGTTTTTTTCAAAACAAGTCTTGTTCTTCCACTGGCCTACACAGCAGTAACCCCAGGGGCTGTTGAATCGAAGAACTGAGATTTTTCTTCCAAAAAGTATGTTTTGCATCACTCTTAGCTAAGTAAATCCTTAGGTAAGGTTAGCTCAGGTCTGCAGTCACTTTCTGTATATAGGGAAATAGCTGCCTGCCTGCTGTATTCTTATGGTGCTGGTCACCCTGGGGAGCATATATGCAATTTTAGTCATTTATACCAAGGGAAGTAGAAATGAGAGAGAACTTACAGAAAGCTGTCAGTGAGGCTTCTTGCTAGTCTAGAAGACTTATTTTTTACAGGCCTTATTTCCTTGTTTTATTTGCTGAGTTTTGTCCCGTGTTGTGACTCTCCAGTGTGGTTTTGGAGATAATCATGCTAGTGATGTTAGTCTTACTTACAATGAAATGTGAAACAAAATCTCCCATCATCTGTGATCATTTATTTTCCTTTTATTTTTTTCAGAAGAACTGATCATATTTGAGGTTAGGAGTGACATGGTGATTTTTTTTTTTTTTAACTCTAGTTTTAGCTTCAAAAAATGTGTGTTGTGAAAAAATTGGAAAAACAAGCAACGGTTCTTTTCCCCCAAAATATTTCCCGCTTTAGTCCTAAAACTTTCATATTAAGCATGGTGTTCTGCTGCTTGTTGACATGCTCTTCTTGACTGTGGTTCAGTACTGGATGAAGCATTTTTGGTTTGTATATGTGGTAGTAAATAGCTTTGTATGGCATTGAAGGAAAGGTGCCATATAAGTGCAAGAGGAATTACCATCAAACACTTTTTTTTTTCATTTACAACTCATGCAGTCATTTCAAAGACTATGTTTCAAAATCTCTGTTGTAGAAGAAAAGAGGCAGCATTGGGAAAAAAAAGAACAGGAAAAATGTGCTGATCATGTGACATTTCAAAGGCACTGGAGAGTACCTCCATCATTTTGTATCTGCAAAATCAGACCTGTTATCCTACCAGCATGCAAAAGATACAAAAAAGCGTTGAGGAGGCTTTAAATGACATGAAATTAATTCTTTTAAGGATTAATAATGTCAATATCACCTCATTCGAGCAACTCAGCATTTTCTGCTGTAAGCTGCTTTTTTCTGAAAAATATGAGTAGGTTGTATGGATTAAGGAATGAAAAGCTTAGTTTTGAGTTTTGATTACATTTTCTCCGGATGTTATATTCTTTGTGTTATTAACTGATAGCAGAATTTTTCATATGTAATTGTATCCAATGATGCATTTAATTTTTACAGTATTCTCCTTCTTTTCCAGATTTTAGAAGTGAAAAGTCCAATAAAGCAAAACAAATCTGATAAACAAATAAAGAATGGGGATTGTGATAAGGTAAATGAGAATGAGGTGACAGTAAACTAGTCCAGAATGTGATACTAATGTATTTCCTAACATCAGCCTTTGTTACAGAATGAAAATCTTAGTACATCTTTGCTTTGGGTTCCTTTAGGTGCAGATCCTTCTCTTTTTTTTCTGTAATTCTTTCTTCTTCTGTCCTATTTTGAAAGTGTTTTCCTTGTCTTCAATCCACGTGGTGATTTGCAAATGTCACCAGTTGGAAATCTGCCATCTGTTATTTATTTTATCTGCTCTCCACCATGAGTTTGCATTGTGCTTCACAGATGAAGTGATAATTTTTGAAGAGGAGAATTCACAGCTATATTCCTAGCCAATAAATCAGTCAATTAAAAAATATATATATTTTCCAGAATCCTTTCTGAGGGCTGTGCGTTAGGAAGTGGCAGTGTGATTTAGTGTGTTAACTAGAATGATATGAAGCAACAGTTACCATTTAACACGGAGAAAGACAGTTTTGTTTAAAATCGTATCAGCTGGCCCTGGGTAAGAGCTCTAATTCATTGAGTGAGAGAACATAGCACAATTTCCCAGTGTCAAGTTCCTCTGAAGGTTCATATTTTAAAGGTATTAGTGTCAACTTTGTGATAAAGTGAGGCAGGAGACCAAAGTTTCAGTATATGTTGCTAGATTTTCAGTGGCCTGATCCATACACTTTTTGGTTCTTAAGCTGCGTGCCGTATTTCTCTCTGCTTAAAAGAAAAAAAGGTTTCTGATGGCTCAGGCTGAAGGAGAACATTGATAATGGGGTGGAGAGGTGGGAAATGTTTGACATCCCATGAAGGAGGACAGTGGAATTTACCATTGGATTAATCTTGCTTGATCTTTCTCCCCTTATATCTCCTTGTTGACACAGAAGATTAATTATGTAGCTTTGGAGAAAAAGAGGGATTTGATTGTGAGCCTTTGGGTTTGGGTCTTATGTGGAAAGGTGGGAGATGTTTTTTAAAGATGCTGTTTTGGCATCCACAGTCTGTTTGACGCTTTTTGCCACAGTTGAGATACAGAGATTATCTTCTACAGCAAAGGACCACCTGATAAGATTTTCATTGGCAAGAAGTATCTGAGAAAACCCATAAAAACTTATATCTGGGATTTTTTAAGTTAGAGAAAGCCAGGCTACTAAATAAAAAATTCAGCTCAAAAAAGATTTAAAATAAAATTTCAATTTGTGTTGTTTTTGAAGACATCTGAATTTTTTTAAATACATAGCTATGACTTAATTAACAAGCTGTTTATGGGGGGGGATTTGTTTCTAGGCATATCTCGATGAACTAGTAGAGCTCCACAGAAGATTAATGACATTGAGAGAGAGACATGTACTGCAGCAGGTGAGGAGCACTCTCATGCAATATCACAGTGTGCTCATTGAAATTGTGAAGTCACATCTATTTTTTTCCCTTCATCTAAAACTCTATAATCAGGTTTAATAGCCTTCAAGCCTGTATAATCCATATACAGCCCATTACCACTTTCAGCGCAGCTTAGGGAATTTTTACACATACTTTAAATTGTGTTGTCACGCTAAATGACAAATTAAAAAAAATGCCTATATCTGAGCTAAATTTTTCACCAATTTGTTGTTACTTTTGTCAACATACTGTATCAATAATGATGGAAACAAGATGAGAGAATGGATACAACTGTGCACCATGACTTGATAAAAATCTTGTTGCTTTTGCCTGAAAATGGCTGGCATTTTCTCAGAAACAATTAAAGATGTTTTCTGTGGCAAACAGAAAATATGGAATTCAAAGCAAAACTCACTTTGGGCAAAACCACAATATACTACTTGAGTCTTCTGAAGTCATGGAAGGAGTAAAATATGAGAATGTGCAAACCAAGAAGGCTCCAAATTTTTTGAAAGGTTATGCAATAGTAAGAATAAAGAACAGTATTCTTTGTTTTGGGCAGCATTGTCAGGTACTGTTGGATTACAAATTGTGAAGATTAAACAATAAGCACTGTTAACAAAGCAGATGTAATTGTAGCAGAGGTGGTTTTATTATGTTTAGCACAATTATATGCCAGTTGTGGACATGTTGTAAAGAGGGAAATTTTTATCACTTCTCAATGATTGCAATCACTCATCAAATTTCTCAACACTTGGATAAGTGTGTTTAAAATATTTTGTAAGCCCCAGCATTAATCTGTTTATTAGTTCAGGCTCAATATTGCGAATAAAGATGAGAAAACAAGTGAGAGGTCAGTGAAAAGGAAGACCTTGGCTAAGGATATTCTTAGTTAAAGAGGAATTCTGATAGCTTTGTCAGATTTTGTAAGTTGCAATACACAATGATGCGTATTGGTCGTCCTTTATATTTAATGTACTGTTGTTTCCCAGGTTCCCTTTTGTCTACAAAGGGAACCAAAGCACACTTTCAGAATGGTGGCAGAGGCAAATTTTTATCTACATTGGGAAATTACTGTGCAGGAGGCTAAAAGGTAGGAATTGCAACACCCTCTCCACTTTACATTATTCATTAATTCTTCAAGGGTTCACATAAAAAGTGAATCTGCAAAAGCCACTGTATTGTAAATTCATGCCCTAGCTTTGCTTCCTGAGCACTTACTTTCCCAGTTATCCAAGGCATAACTTTTGAATGGTTTCACTTCTGGTAGACCTCTGTAGCAAATACTACGCAGTTACCAGCCATCAGTACAGAACTGCACCACTGTCCTAGTCTGCACAGTTCGGCCATAAATCCAGCTTTCACTGGGGCTGTATCGACAGCCTGTAGAGCATAGGGCTTAGGTGGCTTCAGGTGAAATTTTGAAAACAAAAAACATCTTCAAAATCTTTTCTGCAAAGCAAAGATAAAAACAAGCAAGAAACGTTTTTTCCCCGTGAGGGTGGTATAGCAGTGGAACAGAGTCCTGGAGAGACTGTGCTGTCTCCATCCTTGGAGCTTTTAAAATCCTGACTGGACAAGCCCAGTGCAGCCTGATCTGACCCCACAGCTGAGCCTGCTCTGGGCAGGGGCAGGGACTAGCATAATCCCTTCAATCAGAATTCTCCTGTCATCCTAAAAAATATTTTCCAAGCAAATAAGATGGTTCAAGCTGAATCCATAATCCTCTTTCTCACCTAGTAGCATTCAAGTGTATTTGGTGGGGAAGATATTTACCTTTGTTAGAAAAATGATGGGTTCATCCACTAAAGCTTCTTCAGTCTGATGCTAGAGTACTGTTATAATCTGCTTCCTGGGAAGTTACTAATACAAGATAAGACTCTGTGAAAAGAGACATAACTGAGCTGAAAATTGAGAGTATTCGTTCTGAGTAAATGAAAAAAGAACAGTATATTCTTGTGCATTTTAATCTAAAGATAGACTTTTTCTTTTCTCCTGAGTGAATTTATCAGACAAGAGAAAGCATTCATTCATTGACCTTCACCTCACAACTTGTGTGAAGAGTATAATTTTAATGCTGTGGTCCATGACTTCTCATAGTATAGTGTTTAATTAGTTATGTTATAAAAGTTAGTTTGATGTAGAATCGGTGTAGGCTTGTTTCCTGGAGGACTGTTCTTGCAGATTGTTTCCCTTCGTTTGAAATGTGTGCAGGCAGTCGGTACAGTCCCAGTGAAAGCTGGATATATGGCTGGACTGTGCAGGCTAAGACAGTGGTGCAGTTCTGCGCTGATAGCTGGTAACTGTGTAATACTGTCAGTCTGCACTAGCAAATGGTCTATGCTGTTATAAAACAAATAATGCAGTTTAGTTTTAAAGCCTTTAATCCCTTAATATTCTGCAATTCATTAGTTCATATGATTTTATCAGTTTACAGAAATATGTTCACAATATTGAATGGATAACTTGCAGAGAATCACTGCTTCTTTGCATTATAAATAAACTGTCATCCCATCTTAAATGTCCTAACTGCTTTGCAGCTATGTAATTAATGTAAAATACTTCCAGTGAGCACAGAAATAAAGAGTACAGAGCTGAGAAGGTTTTTAGACATGAATGTGGAACGTCTAGACCAAGAAATACAAGTATATAGAGACTATAGGAAGTACAAAGGTCAGGAGTGCAGGGGATAAAACTATGGAAAGGGATGGTGGTTACTGTATGAGAAGAGGGATTGAGTGCAAAAATATGCAACAGAAAACTGTAAAAAACTTGAAGAGTTTTAAAGGCGATGGCAGTGTTGCTGTGGAATGGTGGTGGAGTTCTGTGTTCCTGAGTGGTGATTGTCATCTCTTTAGTTTATGTCAGGGGAGGTAATAATCTCTTGCACGTCTCAAAGTCTGCTACCCACAGACATTTAGGGGATTTTTAGAGAAGGGACTTGCAAGAGAAGGATGAAGGCATTGATCATTCAAAAGCACTGGCTTTTGAAACTTGTGCTGAGGGATGTGAAAAGGAGAGGACAGGGTTTTGCAATCCCAGTTGTTACCAAGTCCATAGGCTGACAGCAAACAGGAATGCAACTGAGTTGGAAGTGAGAAAAATGTATCTGTTTGAGAATGTGGCTCTTTCCCAAGAGAGGCATTTCTCTTTGAGACACTTTGTTAAAGGAAGCTGAAATAAATCTGCAGAAAAGAAGGAGGAGGCAGGAGAGTTGTGAGACTGAACTGCAAGTGCCTGGATATGTAGCTAAGTAATCCTGATATAAAATGATACTTAGAGATATGTAAGAATTGCCCAAGAGGGAGAAGACAGGTAAAAAAGAACATTTGACCAAGAAGTTAGTCCTGTGAGAATCACCTGAGCAATTTTTTTATGTGAATATTAGACCATGGCTAGACAGAAATTGGTCTGAAATCACATCTTAAAAAGAAATCTCTCTGGTCTGAAATCACGTTTTAAAAAGAAATCTTTCTCCCACCTCTCCTACTTTCACTGTAAAGAAAGGATTTGGGATTTACAGAGATGAGGCTTTTTTTTTTTTAATCTCTGTGATTTCCAGTGAAATAGTAGGGATAAGGGAGTTCGCAATCAGATGTTAACGCTGCATGTCCTATATATTCAAATTTGGCTGGCTAAAGCTGGGTTCCTAAGTCTTCATTTTCAGTGCAGGTGATGTTAGCATGATCCCATGAAAGGCAACAAGATTTCTGGTAAGACTTTGCCTCTTACTTTGAGGCACCAGAAGTCGTATCTTCAGCTGGTGAAAAATCTCCTTAAAGCCAGTGCACTAGACAGCACAGGCATAAGGAAGAAATTGAGAGTACGCAGCACTGCTGAAAATTACATTGCTCCTGACCACAGGGTGCTTAACTTCAGGTGGCAACTCTCTTCTGAGAATTTTCTGCAAGGGGCAGTTTGCAGGTCTGGAAACTATCAAATGGCCTAAAACCCTCCATAAATTGAAAAATGACTATGTCATTAGTTGCACTTCGGCTTCCTTAAACACACACACTCATTTGCTTGTTTAAAGGCAGATGAATACTTGTACTATGATGGATAATGATGAAACTGAGCTGGAGAGACATTATGTAAACAGACATGTACATTGCAGCAGAAGAGCAAAGCTTACTATGGCAGGAACAAATGGGGTGATTCTGTTCTTTGCAGCTTGAACTCTCAGAATAAAACATTTTAATGCTGTGTTTTTAATGTTATAACTGTCAGACTTCCTGGCAACTAATCTCAACCTTTTATTCTTTTTCAAGTATTTCTGAATAGCATAAGGATGCGTATGCTAATACTGTAAGTCATTAATTCCTCATTGACTGGCACACAGGCAGGTGTTTTTCATTGAATTGTCTGGGTTTATCTTGATACATTTTTGTACATCCATTAAAACTTTTGGGGTTCATTTCAGTCTGATTTACCAGGTGCTCTGACATAGTGGCTATATTTCTTGAGGGGTGGATGGTGGATATGTTTATATTTCCCTTGGCCTGGAGATTAAAAGCCCAAAGCAGGACCTGATCAATAAAAGTGCTTATCAATTTTCTAAAGTATACAGTGCTGTTTAAAAATACACGTGTTAACACTTTCATGTAGTCTTTGTTTCTAAAATCACATATATTGCTGTGTGGGTTGTGAGGGGTGGTATTCTTCCACCATAACGCAAGGAAGCTTTAGACAGAATTGTTCAGCGTAGCTAATCTTCCTGGCCTCGGGTTCTGTAAATTTCTTGTGCAGCCATTTATGTATAACACAGTGGATATTCGGAGACCAAGCCTGACATTAGATTCCTAACTTTGCAAAAGGAGACTGGATTGAATCCTTAGCTTCTCTCTTAGCTGAGGCTCAAGAGAGTGCCAAAAATGAGAATGACAAATAACACATATCCTAGTTTCCTTCTGGTAACAATCAGTTTTGTCCCGTTTGATTTTTTTTTTCTCTTATGTCAGTTGCAGAACAGTAGGAGATGGAAAAGTGTTACAAGAATCTGTGAATCAACAAGTGGACGAATGAAGGTGGCAATTTTAGATTAAAAATTCCCATATGGAAAAAAAAATTAAAGCCAAGAGGCACAGATTTAAATGAAGTGTTAATAAGAGCAGGGTTGTTCCTAAGTACTTTCAAAATTTTGGACAGCTGCAAACCAAATTAAACAGATTTTACTTTTATTTTTTTCCAACCTGGAAAACGGGAGGTGATTGGAAAGGGAGCTTTTTACTGTAACAGGCATTTACCTCTTATTATTTTATCTTGTTTCCATTCTGTTTAATCCACCCTGGGCTGTGTCATTCCATGCCTGACAATACACATGAAGTTATTTCATTTATCATCAACATAGTCTTTTCTTCTGTGGTCTGAGGAAAAAAAACATCTGTTTATATAATGAAATGGGGAGCGGAAAATTACAAAAGATTTAGTTTAAATTCATTGTTCTTTTTCAAGTTGGTGTATTCCTACCAGATTTGTCATTTTAAGGTATGCTCTGTAAGCCATGTGTGCATACATCTGTATCTCCTGCAGCTGTGGAAAAGGAATTACAGTCAGAGTAGTAAAGCTCAAACAAGCAAGGAATATCTAGCAGCAGCATTTCAGTGGAGGTATGGGTTTCAAACTGAAGGATGCAAACAGGACATTGAGCCTAGCCTGAGTGACACAGAAGGTGTGGTTGGAAAGACTGAGCAGAAAAGCAATGTTCTGTCAGTCCATGACACTACCCAGAGGCCAGCTTCAGGATGGGGTGGCTTTTTGTGCTTGGGATGTCTGTCTCTTGGAATGAAATGGTGCATAAGAGATTCCTAGCCATAGTGTATTGGCACTGTGTTAATCCTATCTGACCAATAATGCTTTGGCTTCCCAAGATGCTGAATGGGTTTTTAGGTAGGTGCACATCCCAGAACTTAACGTATCTGGAGTTACCGGTTACAGCAATTCAGTGTTGAGTATGACCACTCTTTAAAAATGTAGACTACAATTCAGAGACTAAAAATGTCAAAACTTCAGAAAGGCACAAGTTAGATACGTACTGTTGATTTCACAGAATCATAGAATGGTTGAAGTTGGAAGGGAACTCTGGAGGTCATCTGGTCCGCACCCCCCCGCCCCAGCTCAGGCAGGGACATGTAGAGCCAGTTGCCCAGGACCACTTCAGACAGCTTTTGAATATCTCCAAGAATGGAGACACCACAACCTCCCTGGGCAACCTGTGCCAGTGCTTGGTCGCCCTGACAGGAAACTAGCGTTTCCTGATGTTCAGAGGGAACCTCCTGTGTTTCAGTTGGTGCCCATTGGCTCTGGTCCTGTCACTGGGCACTGCTGAACAGAGCCTGGCTCCGTCTTCTTTACTCCCTCCCTTCAGGTATTTGTACACATTGATAAGATCCACCCTGAGCCTTCTCTTCTCCAGGCTGAAGAGTCCCACTTCTCTCAGCCTTTCCTCGTAGGAGAGATGTTTTAGTCCCTATTTTTCTCAAGAACTCCTAACAGCTCTTCTGTTTCCTGTTTGAATGAAAGCTGGGATTATAGATTAAATAGTCACCAGAAGAAGTGATCTTATGCCATCGGTAGGGGTCTTTCATGGTTGATTTGGTTTAAAAAAATTGATTTAAGTCTGTTACTCAAGAAATAACTGCTAGTATGTGAGATGTGAGAGCTCTTGAATACATTTTTTGTTTTATATGGGCTAGATTCTATAAGGTTTTATTTCTTTTCCTTGCTTGCAGAGAGGCTTATGCCAATTATTTTCTAAAGTAACCTGCTTAGCAGCTATGCATACAGTAAATATTCCAGACAGAAATCTACCTGTGTTTGGGTGGTTTTTTTTTTTTTGGCTGGGGGAGGGGTGGGTATTGCTTTTTTTTTTTTTTTGAAGACTGACTTAGAAAATATACAGATTTTCTTTTAACACTTGAAAAATATATTCTCAATGGTAACGTTTGCTGGAACAGCAGATGGGTAGGTTGGCATTATGGTTGATGATGATCTAAAAAAAAATACCAAGGTACTGTAGTCTGGACCATAGTTCGTGTCAGAAAGGAAGTAAGTGAAAAAGATAATGGTTTAACCTGCAAGGATTGGGGCAATTGGGCTTGTTTTATGCCTTTCATACGATACTTAGTGGTATGTTAATACATTCAGTGGGCATGTAAAACTGCTGAAATTTTCAACTGCATCTTTTCGTTCCTTTCAGATAGTAAATCTTATAGAAGAAACTGGACACTTTCATATCACAAATACAACCTTTGACTTTGACCTTTGCTCACTGGACAAAACCACAGTCCGTAAGCTACAGAGTTATCTGGAAACATCTGGAACCTCCTGAGGATTCACCATCTGGCTGCATCAAAAACTGTTCTTTAAATGAAACATTCAGAATGATGCAACCAAAATGGGGGGAAAAAACCAAACAACCCTCTTCAGCTTTATTTTTCCTTAAAGCCAGTCATCATCTCTTGATAAGGGAGAGGAAAAGCGATTTCTCAAGAAGAAAATGCTCTGGAAGAGTTTGCCTGGATAGCCTTGAAAAACGAACAAACAAAAGCAAACAAAAATACTTGGTCTTAATGAATGTGTATGGTATCATGTATCTCTCTCTGTGGTGTTCTAGTCCACAAGATGAATGCATGTTCAACACACTGCCTTATTACATAACTGATCTATTTATTATAGCATACATGTATTCTAAAGTCAATGAGTCACTGAATGACACTACCAGGTGTTGAAAGTAGTGGGGTCCCATGTGTGCTCTTTTGATGCAGTACTATCACAAGCCTAATAACCTTATTCATGTTAAAATGCCACTTCTTGCTACCTTTCTCTAGTCACTTAAAACACTTTTACAGTGTTGTTTCCACTTTTGCAGTTCCAGGAAACGAGATAGAAAGTTGGGGACCAAACAGTGGTCCTATATTTTATTTCCCATCTGCCACACTGGGTTGGACCACAGCAGGTTGGACCGCAGGTCCTTGGCTCTATCCATTTATTGATCTTGACCATGGTAGAAAATGCACCAAATAGGATCATACGACTTGCTGTCTAGCCTTAGTGAATAAACCAGTAGGACTTTTAACAAAACATGTTACGTATGCTGTCCTGAATCCAGCATCTTTTGCAGTCTACATTCTTGTGTCTGTTTTAGTGTTATAAAATTAAATATATATGAGTGAAGGTGTTCTGCAGGATCATCATAAAAGAAGAAATACTGGTCCTGTCTTCTAAGGAAATGTTGTAGAAAATTCTTAATTTGGAGCTATTTATTACTATGAGTTTCAACACTCCTCTACTGCCAGTGTGTGACTCACTTTTACCATAAAACTATTTGCATAACATTTTTGTTTGTTCATACAGTGTATGGTCTGCTTAGTTTGCTTTGGAGTTTTGTTTCTGGTTTTGTTGGTTTTTTTACAACTGCTAAATTAAAACCCTTTATTTGAAAAGAAAAAAAAATGTTGTTATACAGTTACATGTTGGAATAAATACATATATGATACACCATATGTATGTGTGTGTGTCTATACACATATACACACACCTGTGTGTATATATATATACACACACATGCATATATGCTTTTTACACTTTCCAGATTTTGGCATCTGTTCAATAACCTGCTTGTGTTTCCAGAAGGATTTCTTGTCTATAAAAATGAGTATTCTTTCATACCATCCGTTATTCCTTAAAATCAGGATCCTTGTTTATGCATGATCAGATGAGAGGATGTGTACTCAGTTTCACATGAAAGCTCCGTGCTTTCATATTGCTGATGGTTTCTTGATGAAATCATCACCCTTCTTTTAGAAGTTCAAATCCCCCAATGAAAAGAGAAAAGAATTTAAAAAATACTTCTGGATGCAAGGGTTTATTCAGGTTTACCAGCCTTAAAAAATGTATCTTATTTCTGGGCAGGCCAGTATGTCATGTGTATGCTTTGTGCCACATGTAGTCTGTATGTATAGAGCTGAACAGTAGTATCTGTATGACTTACTGTTTCATGCGCACAGTTTGTGCAGCACTGTAAAACTAAATTCCTATTGGGGTTATTTCTTATTCAGATGGTAAATCTTAATACTGTTACTTTAAGTCCAAAGAAAATTTTACACTTTACTGTTTTTGAGAGGGTGGGATACGGATTGGGTTGGGGTGCTTTTTTCATATTTAAAATGTTATTTGACCACAGTCCGCAGGAAGTCCTTCTTAGGCTTCCCAAGAATAAGTGTACTTTTTCAGTAATGTTATGACTCTTATTGACGATTGGCATGAAGCATACTTGAAGCGTTATGTTGTTCTTTTAAGTCCATGTCTTAATGTGCAATTGGGGGTGGGGGGAGTGGGAGTGTAATTTTAGAGTTAATTTTGACATAAGGCAGGTGATGGTGGGGAGGGGGAAGGGGTGCATGTGAAGGGGATAAACTTCAATTTTTATTGATTATTTTATATGAAAATGTTTGGAAATCTAAAAGCAACCTTAAAAATGTTTGGTCTACTATTGTGTGTTCAACTTCCTGTCTTTTAGTTATACCAGATACATATGGAATTTTTGTCCATTTTGACTTTTCTAGCTAAGTTTTGTGGTAAAAACTTACTGAGTTTCAGGAGGGGAAGAATCCCATGGTACTTTTAGTATGACTATTGCACTGTTTTGTTAGAAGGGGTGAAATGAATCATTTTACCCTTAAAATACCAGATAAGCTTTATTATACACTGAGAACGGGGTGGAAGAAAACAGCAAATAGGAGGATAGGCATAAAAGGGAGTACAGGAATAGGTATAAAAGGCAATTACAGTATCAAGTTAGTGCTGAATTTCATGCAAATTGTGGATCATCCTTAAACTCTTAGATTTTCTGATTCAATGGGAGAGGGAAGAAAATAGACTTGTGTGTGTGTATGTGTTGACTTCTTCACAAAATTCTGATAGAATAAGAGTTACTAAGTGTTGATCTAAATTAAAAAAATAAATTAGCTATTTTCATCTAATTTTATATGCAGAAACAAAATAAATCCTTGTTCACTTAATTTCAGACACTCATTTTTCTCTTAAAGGAAAAATAATAAGATACCCTTCCAAGTCGTTAACGTATATGAGCATTGTTCTTTGGGATAGGTTAAAGTGTTTTGGTAATAAATGTTTTGGAGTTTCACTTAACACCAAGCTGTTTAAAACAAAGTTATATGTGAGAATTTGGATGAATTCATTCTGGGTGACCAGACAGAGGTTAGCAAAAAGTTGCAATATCTAAAAAATCATTTTCACTGTGAGTCACTGTTGCTAGAACAGTAGTTGTATCCAATAGGAAGGACAGTTTTCATCTCGCCACTAACTTTTCATCTGAGAAAGTGGATGTCCAATTGGGTAGACAAGTTTTAGTATCTTTTTAGAAGTTTGAATCCACTGAGAGGCTTTACAAAAATTTCAGTATCATCTAGATTTGAAGGCCGTCTTAGTGGTGCTAAGAGAAAGAGCAAGAAAGGAGGAAGGGGCATACACTGAAGTGAGGAAAGTCTTCCAAGGTAAAACAAAACCCATGCTCGGTCTTCGCAAGAAAGGCTTGGATCGCAAGAAATGGTTGATCATTTCTCCTCTCTCTTCTTTTCATTGGTTGGGTGGCTTAGGTTAAGTCTATGCTTTCAATTTCAGAAGCAGAGTACACACAGTACAGTGCACTTGGAGAGCCCAGTATATTTCTATTAAAGTTTTAGTCTGTGGGAAGGAAATTACAAGTTCTTGGATTTTGCCTGACCCATTGTCCTTCTTTCCCATTCTTACAGTGAAATAAAGTATGTTCACAATCTGGTTTGGGTCCTTGGTCCTTACTTGGTAAGTATCACCTTGTTTTCTTAGAAGCTGTTCTAGTGTTTTGGGGTCTTTTGAACGACCCGTTGGTTTCAAGCCCCATTACTTAGTTTGCAAAATTAATGGGAAAGCTGTAGAATGTTCTGAAAACTGCCCTGTACAGTTGTTGTATGCATTGTCTTACTCCAGACTTGCTCTGATGGTAGGATGTTTGATTCGCTTCATACTGTCTTTGTTCATACACATTATATCCCGTCTTTTACCGCTTGCAGTTTAATGGCAAACAGTGTATCTTTTAGCAAGCTCTTGTTTCAGTCTATAGAGGGACTTGTTATTTTTGTGTTTGCTCATTAATTTGCACAGTTTGCTCTAGTGCAATGCACTGAAATTGAGATTTGTGGTGAAAATTTTGTCAGACTTTCAGCCATGGCAGGAGCTAGCAGGAACTGCAAAAATAAGCAGTGCAAAACATCTTCCAAAGTTTAACAAGTGCAAGGCATGCATTTTTATGAGCCTCAGTAGTTCTCTTAATTGTTAAGCAGTATACAGTAGAACGTAGTGTACACAGAAGCTGTACTGTACCAAGAAGCTTTACTGTTGGGCATAAAAGGCTTGCAAACAGATGATGGGGACTAAAACTCCTATATCTGCAGTGCTTTTGTGTATGCTTGGGAGTTAATCAGTGCATTAACACGGCTAAACCAACGACATTTACAGGCCTGGCTCTGTGTCTGAGTGAGCAGATAAATTAACATCAAAGCATAATCACATAAGGGCCTTGCATTTACTTGAGCGGCAAGAAATGCCACTGCGACTAGACAGGAAAGAGAAGTATTACCACAGTGATAACAATACCCTTTGCAGGGGGGGGAACTAAAAGAAAAAAAAAAAAAAGAGTAAAGAAGAGATCCCTTAGTAGCTGGATGTTCCTTACGTTAACATAGAGAATACAGTTTGCTGGTCAGTGGTTCTGTCTGCTGTAAGATAGGGTGACAGCTTGCAGAGTGGCAGCTTCTTTGGTTCACTGCTGTAATAATTGTGGTGTTGCTGACTTGATGAGAGAGAGATGTATTGCAGCATCATACAAAAATCTAAGCTGTCTTATGATTTGAGATGCTAATGTCTATTTAACATTTGTTTGAATATAGCATCTTATTTATATTCTATGTTTTACCTCAGCCAGATTGATTCTACTGCGAAGTGATAATCTTTCATTTTTCATTCTTCACTTACTTTTAATTTTTCCTCTCCAAAAATTTGACCAAAGTCAAATATAGGTCTGTGAATACAGCAGAAGATGTGTTTTCATCATCATTCAGTATAATTCGGACTGGAAGTAACCATTTCCTGAATGTTACATCAAATGAGTCATGCATTTTCATACGTTCCTTCGGAGAACTGATGCTGTAAAGCTGGAATTCCCATTAGTAAACTTTACCCTTTTCATCACAGTGAGGAATAAATGATTAACTCTTATCAGAGTTAACTCTCACAGAGAGACAGAATTCAAGGTCTGGGTCCTGTTTAGGAAATAGTACGTTTGTGAAGCTGTCAGTTACATCTTTTTAGTAAGACCTAGAAATAAAGCCTTTTGGGGAGGAAAAGAAGGGGAGGAAAAATCCACTAAAAATATTTTCACTCTGATAATGGTGGTTTTTTCCAACAGTTATATTCCCCTTTGAAATCCTTAAGCGTCTAATGGCCAATAGAGAGACTATATACAAACCATTAAGGAATCAAAGGTATTGAAAAGATAAAACAAATAAATTGTATTAAAAGCCTGGCTGCGCAAGTAATAAGGTCGTAATGCTGATACTGCTTTCAGTGCAGGGCAGACATTCCTAGCACATGTGGTTTGTGTATCCATGTCTGAGTGGGTGGTCTAGAAAACAGTGCAAAATGCTGCAGGAGGGCTTAATTTTCGAGCAGTGCAGAGGAGACATTCAGGATGGGGTCAGCCACCACCACCCAGACTATCCAAGATAAAGCAGTTTTCTTTCAGCTTTCATGAGCAGCTAAGTTTTCACTTTGCCTATTCGTCTAAATATTTGAATTCTTTTTTGCAACTGTATTAGTCCCCACACAGAAGTTTCATGCTTGCTAGGGACCTGGTTAGGTTTGGGCTGGGGTTATTTTGATGTGGTTGTTACTTTCTTTGGGCAGGGCATGAGAAGATCGAAGTGG